GCCCAGGAGAATGAGAATGAGGATGAGAATTGTGAATTGAGAATTGAGAACTGGGAGGCTGCTCGGACAAGAGATGTTGGGAACCAACGCTACTGTGACATCTAGGCGATGGTAACAGGGAACAGGCAAACTTACTGTGCATACGGGATTTACTGGTAAGCGCATATGGCGGGGGACTTGTGATGTCGTCCTGCGGAGTATTTTCTGGTGTTGGGTGTCGGGAGACAGCCAAAGACAGGGATGCCTCGCTGGTGCTGATCTGAGTGGCCAGTGAAACGTCGTCCCTGCCCGCCACCACCAACACACATTCCACCACCGCTGTTTCCTGAAAGGCCTTGCTGTTTCCTTCAGATACCAAATATCTCCGCCGTCTTCTCACCCGTTCTACTCGTCCGAAGCTCTGTCTTGATGTTGTGGCTCGCTGCCCGACGAACAGCAATCTCCGACCTCCACAGCTTCGACAACTCCACGCGGTAACGACGCGCCGGGCAACTGCAACCACTGTCGTCCACAGACCTGGGAAACGATCGAAGACTCGGAATCGGCTGCTTGCATAGAGGTTTTTATCGTCGGGCCCGTTTATTCCAAAAGCCTAGAGTCTATTAGCACGTCCCGCACCAAAAAAATTCAGCATCTGCGTCCCAGTTACCGTCAACACCTTTGGAGGTCCCTCCGCTGTTGCTTTACTAGTACGAACCATGGAGGCTCTACAAGACTTGTTCCCAAGCCGATCTGAGCGGGAACTCCAGGAAGTCCTGGATGAGGCTTCTCAAAGTTTCGACAGAGCCCTTGAGATACTTTTGGAACGCCCGGCAGCACCCCCACCACGGCCACGACCTCTTCAGAACTTAGCCAAGCGTGTTTCCAACGTCATTGAAGCCCCGCCTCTCACGCCGGCTACAGCGTCGGCCTTGTCCTTCATGAATATGACTCTTTCGGGGGATGATGACCGGCAGAAGGGCTCGCCGAAGGCGCCGCAACTACCACGACAAGTTATCACGATTTCTGATGATGAGGAAGCGGGAAAGAGTCCTAATATCGTTGCCAAAGCAGTCAGCAAGGGGGATTCAGAGTCAGAAACCGTTGCTTACATTTTGAGTATATTTCCCGACGTTTGTCCCGAATCAACGAGGGAGCTGTACAAAGCGCATCGATATCTTCAGGGCTCGTCTGTTGCTGAATTCCTTGTGGACAAGTATCTTGAAGAGGGCTATGTGAAGGCGGAGAAGGTTGGTCAGAAACGGAAGCGAAAAGCTTCGGATGGCGAAGAGGCCTCTGCTCGCAAGAAGGACGCATATGATCCAGCCGGCCGGCCACCGTCTACCCAGGATTATCGGAGAGCAGTGTTAGTTTCCGTGACTTCCATTTTAGAAACCTAATAATTAACTTTACGCGTCACTCAGTGAAAGGTTGTTACAACAAGAGTTTCCTTTAACTCCCGCAAACTATATCAGCAAGGTTTTTAGGGCCAACCTGTCCTTTCTCGCTTCTACTTATCCCCACCTTGTCGCTGCAGAAAAGCTTGTCAACTCTCGCGACCCACGACCACCATACAAACCTCTCTTGTCCCGCAGGAAAATAATGGATGACAATGGCGCCTTCGACCAGATGGGGAGTGAATGGAACAAGATTCTCGAAGAGTTGGGCTACGCCAGGGATGTCTCACGCAGTTACGCAAGTGAGTCTCGATGCCTTTCTTGTACCGGGATTCTCGATGCTCATTAAGGAACAGTGCAGCAGCAAGTCGAAGCAGACGCGCAAATTGCAGCACAGTTGAACGAGAAGGAGTATGAAGCCGCTGACATGCTCTGGGAGTGCAAGTGCTGCTTCACGGAAACGCCGTTCGACAACATGACCCATTGCGGCGAAGGAACGCATTTTTTCTGCCTTGGCTGTGCAAGAATGAATGCAGAAACCGAGATTGGGAATGGGAGATACAAGCTGAAGTGCATGGACGGCTCGGGATGCCAGGCGGAATTCCCGCGGAGAGAAGTGTGAGTCTGTCGTTCTAATGCCTTTATGGATCTCATGGTATTACAGGTTGCGATTCATCAAGAACGAAAAAACCTTGGCCCTTCTTTCCAAACTGGAGGCAGAAGAAGCCATCCGAATCGCCGCGATTGATAATCTCGAACGTTGTCCGTTTTGCGACAACGCCGCTATCTGCAACTCTATTGAGATTGATAAAGAGTTTCGATGCGACGGTGAAGAATGTATGCCACCGAGTTCGTTAACCCTCGCTCTTCTAACGCTTTACAGGCGGCATTTTCAGTTGCAGGCTTTGCAAACGCAAGTCTCATATCCCCAAAACGTGCGAAGAAGCAGCAAAGGATGATAATATCTCCACTCGTCACCGCGTCGAAGAAGCCATGACCAAAGCCATGATGCGGAAGTGCAAGTACGTTATCTTTGATGTATGCCCTTCTACATTACACGTACTAACATTGCCTCCGTTATCAGCAAATGCCAGGCGCCGTTCATTAAACAAGACGGCTGCAATAAAATTGTATGCACCACATCTGGCTGCCGCAACATCCAATGCTACGTCTGCTCCCAAAACATAGCCGACTATTCCCACTTCGCCCGAGGCCCGAGCGACCAAGTACGTAAGGGCCAATGTCCGCTCTACGACAACCACGAACAACGGCACGAAGACGAAATCCGACAAGCTGCGCTGGCAGAAGTCGAGAAGCTCCGGAAAGAAAATCCCGGCATTTCAGACAAAGATTTACAGATTCGGATTTCCGACGAAGTCAAGAAGAGCGAAGCCGAAAGAAAGAAGGCTGCGGAGAATGGTGGGAGACAAGCGCGACAAGGCAACCCAGGGTTCGTAATACCGCCTTACAACCCCGCCGCCGTGCAACCTCCACCACCACCTCCCCCACAACCTCGAGCTCAACCGCAGCAGCCTGTACCTCCTGCCATGGCAGATCCACGCATACAACCGCCTCGGGGTAGAACAATCCCGGCACCACCACAACCACCATCACTCTTCCCACGCAACATGGGCGGCTACCCTCTCGGCCTCCTCGTCCCACCATACCAACCCCAATACTACGGAGCACCACTACAACCACCACAACCACCACAACCACACCTTCCTGCAGCTGCAGCACCGAACCAGATGCAACCACAACTCATATATCCCCCGGTACGAAATAACCCCCCGGTGAATGGAGTGCCGGCGCACTGGTTGTTTCCGGGTCTGTGGGCATATACCCCCCAGCCGAATAATTATCAACGGCTTCCGCCGCCGCCGCCGCCGCCGCCACCGCGGCACTTGCGGCCACAGACACAGCTACAGCCGCAATCGCAGCCACAGAAGCAAAAAGCGAAGAGGAAGTGATTCATTGCGTCAGGTGTGGTTGAATGATAGGAACAAATGAAGGAAGGAAGCGAGGAAGTTGTTTATACATACCGTCATATTTTCGGTTTTTTTTTATTGAAGCATTTATTGCATTGATCCGGAGTTTTTCTCTTTTTTGGTGTGTGGAGTTCATTTTGGATGTTTATGGTGTTCAGGGTTTTCTTTTTTGGGAGGTTGGAAGGCCTCGGACTCGGAATTGGGTATGATGGTTTACATTGGGATGTGGATTGGTGTATACTTTGTAAATCACCGTCGAGAGTTGTCAGTTCAATTGTTGAAATGAAGCAAGGTTGGAACAACAATGCCAAGTTCAAGGAAACTGGATGTGATTGGGAAATCCATTTTCAAGTGAAACGCATGACATGCTCACTTCACCCACGACCTCCCGCCCTACTCCAACCTTTCCAGCCATAGACGTGCACTCCAGTTTTTCCAGCTCGCGCACACCAACCGCAATGCTCATAACTCCGGTGCCTTGTCCCATTATCCCCATTCGAACTTCCTCCCCTGAGGGGCCATCATAAATTGGTCCCGCAGCGTTCCAGAATCATCTTCCTTCCCGGTCCCGGTTTCATGGCTTGGGCATACTCTTTGTCGGAGTTTGTTGCTGGCTAGCTTGTTCTTGTGGTATGGTATGTCTTTTCGAAGATCCAGGCCACTTCTGGAATGTTTGCGGGCACAAACGGTGTTGATTTTTATGTGTGGCACAATCAAGGTGATCTGGGAATAATTCCCAGGGACCGGGCTCGCGTTGATCTTTCGGTGGTTTTGATTTGCTCCAGGGCGTCTCCCAACGCTGCGATAGTGGCCTTTTGTGAAACAACCGTTCTACCCAGCTTTCTCACCGAAGCAATGAGGTTCAAGCCGGGTGATCGAACGCTGTGTCGAGAGCTGTAACTGGCGAGGGCGAGCCCAAGAGCAAGAGCTTGTGGTGAAGGCGAGATCGGTTGCTGCCGAGGACGAGACTTGTAGCAAGAGGGGTGGAAGAAGAGATGCATAGACTATGACGGAAAGAGTGGTAGTTGGTGAGGGTGAAAGCTGAAGCTGGTGAAGGCGTGACTTTTTGTTATTGGGGAGGAGATATGGAGCTGACGAGGACCAGCACTGTAGCTAGGAAGGCAGAAGGAGACCTGTAGGTGACGAGAACGAGAGCAATTGTAGCTAGTATCCGGAGCTGGGGAGTATAAAGGTGGAGGTGGAGGTGGAGGTGGCGAGTACACGGTTTGGTATGAAGACATGGGGGACGAGGGTTGGTGAGGAGATGGAACGACGAACAGTCTTGCTGTCACTACACAGTGTACCACACAATTGATTGATTGATTGATTGTTTGATAGACTGAACCCATTTTAACGCGTGCGTCGCTTTGGAATATGGCGCGACGACTACTCTACAGCTTCCTCCCTCCCCGTCCCCTATAATTCCGCTTCTTTCAGGCTTTCTGTATACATAGAAGTTCGTCCACTGTCAACTCTACTTCTCGCCGACCCTTCGTACTGGAAATGGCCGCCTTTTGAGTTGTGTTAGCAAGCTGTTAAACATGTTCTCTCCTCTTTCGTTCCATTGTTGTGTACCACACAACAAGCATAATTATTGGCACATAATGTTTTAGCTCGGTGCTTATACATCAAGTCATCCTCTGTGGCGCAATTGGCTAGCGCGTCTGACTGTTAATCAGGAGGTTGGTGGTTCAAGCCCACCCGGAGGAGTTTAAATTTTTTTTTTTTGTATATATTTTGAATATGTTCAATGGCGTCTGGGGTTGTGTCAGTTGGTGGAATGTGTTGAGTTGGTCCAACCTGGAGAGTAACGCGCTGTTGGCGTAGCTGGCGGGAATGCAGTTGAACAGAGTGTGTATCATGATAGCGATCGCCCGCGGATCAAATGGGGTATAATTCGTCATTTAATTTAACTGAACTGCTCTTAACACTGGAAAGCGATCCCCTGTCTCTCGGTCGTCACGTTTCCTCCACCCGCCGAAAAGCCTGTCCCATCGCTCTGGATTTGTATCAGACCGTGTTTCACCTTCGTATCACATACGTAGCACATAACAATATTGGCCTTCTTGTCGTGCGGGTCATCGCGGGGGGTCATGAACCGGTCTGCGCAGGGCTTGCAAAGGACGTGTCCGCATCTAGCCACTGTGGAATCGTTAGAATCACATAGTCGAGATAGAGAGAGTTGCGGATACATACACATGGCTTTGTTGGCGTTGCTTAACACCTTTTTGCAGCTGGGACAGATTCGCTGTGGGTCGCCGTGCTTTGTTTTTTCGTCGGCTTCTTCGGTAAAATGCACGTCTATGAGGGCTTTCAGGGAGTAGTGGTGGAGTTTGTCTTTGGTTGATGCCGGGCAGACGGGTTTGAGTTTTAGGGGTTTTGCGGGGAGGTCGGTGTCGGCGACGGAAGGCGTTAGACTCGGTACCCAGAAGGAGGGGAGTTTTTTTGCTGATAATGCTGCCTGGATGATGTGTTAGTGTGTGACTAGCTGGATTGTGTATTCCGGCTCACCTTTTCCTCCTCCACCTTCACCTTCACCTTCCTCGTCTCCTCCATCGCAATCCTCTTCAACTCCTCTTCATCCAACTCGAACTTCCTCTTCTTCCCGTTCCCCTCGCCCTCAACCGTCTCCTCAACGACTACCTTCCCCTTCTCCCCCCTCCCCACAATCTCCCTCCTCGATCCCCCCATCCCCTTCACCTCCAACCCCATCTGCAACAACTCAAACTCCCTGACCGCTCTCTCCCTCGCCTCCTCCTCCCTATCCCTTCTCTCCTCTTCCTCCTCCTTAACCCTCCTATCCACCTCCTTCTGCATCCTCGCGATCTCCTTTCGCTGGGAGAGCAGATTCTCGACGGCGCATTCGCGGCAAAAGAGGTCCCCCGCGGGGCAGGACACCGGGTTGCGCGACCGCATGAGACACAGATTGCAGGCGTCGAAGGGTTTGAAGGAGTCGCGCGTGAGGCGTGTGCGCTGGAGGCCGTAGTCGCCTTTGAGGAGGGACCGCTCATACGAGGTGAAGAAGGCGAGGGAGGTGTTGCGTTTGCTGTGAGCCATTGTGGCGGCGGGGTTCGAGGGGTTGGGGAGGTTGGAGGATGGAGGGATTGAAGGGGTGGGTTGATTGATGGGAGTGAGGATTGTAGCGGTTGGTGAGAGCTTCGGGGTTGTTGGATCGTCGCCGCCGCATGCGCGTGCTGGGGATTGGCGATCAGCAACTCACCGCCCTGAGCCCTGAGCCCTAACTAACCCAGTATCCATGTGGGACGCAATATACTGGGTGAAATTGCCGGCATGAAGCTTGCAGAATGAAAAAGATACGCAACTTCCGTTTCCGTAACCTCCAAAAGTCAGGTCGATTCAGGTCCTGGAAACATGAACCAGCCGCCACAAGACATTGTGGAAAAAGTTTCCTAATGAACGTCCGGTTGGATGAGTCCAGGTGTCAGGGTGCACAATTTTAGAAAAGAGCAGTGTTAGGAGAAAGAAGTTCCAGAAATCTAAGGATCATTTTCAAGCACTTGCTCTGACCAACCTCCCCATCATAAAAGAACATTACACCCAAATTAGCTTCATACATCTTGTACACTTTGACGACCGTAACGAGCCGCCTCCGCCCCCGTTTTGGCACCCAACCATTTAATCGTTTCTCGTACCCATTGTGATCCCAAGAAATACATACAACAACACGACATCTGCGACATCCGAATCTATGAAAACTACCAACCCGATCACCCTATAAGGGTGGCTACCGGAGCCAGCAATGAATACCTTTATATTGCCAGCACATCGTATTAAGAGTTGGGAAGACCAAGGAACATAGTTCGCCTGGAATGAATTTGTTGCCGTGCCACAAACCCCTTTCGGATCTTTCCATTGCAACCTCTTCTGTGTCTAGCTTGATTCGACTAAAGGTGACCACCCATACTTGTCCCAAAAACCTTTCAGAGGAAGGGAATGCATTTGTGACACCACTTACCCAATTCCGCCTTTCGAATCCTGTACACGATGAAGTCTGGGCCTTGTCGATCACAGCCACTCTGCATATGCTATTGTCGACATCCCTAACTTTGCCATCCTTCCGCAGCTGAAGGATGCTTGTATTTGAGTATCTCCAATGGCAACACTGTTTCTTCTGCGCGCATCCGTCGAAATACTTCGAAAAAAGTCTGTATAAACGCAAGTGGAGTCCATCCTATGACAGTTTAGCACACGCTCAGAAGGATATTTAAGAAGACTCTACTTCAAGATATTCCGCATGGCGGCAGCCAATCAGTTGTGCATAACTTGATTTTCCCAGGGGAACAATATAGACCGTCTAAGCTCCAGTTTCATCAATGGCAGGCTGGCCCGGTTGAGCAGCCAGGCGTAAGTGGTTGACTGACTTGTCTCGTGTAGTGGATCGCTCAGCCAGAGAACAAAGAGCGGAGTCGACGGATACCGGGGCTAGAAGGTAAGTAAGTTAGGAATCGGGATGAGATGAGATTGGAACTGACAAATGAAGAAGTCGAGCCCGCTTGAATGAGCTAGATTGATGTTGGGGAGGGGGTAAGCCATTCAATCGAGTAGCGGAGATGTAAAGGTTTTGGGTTGGCAAGTGAAGAGCGGCCATAGTCATTCATGCGGTATCTACTCTACACGTGACCGGCAACACTACAAACCCCCGCAATAACATCCAATACTGGGGCATGATAGTCGTCCTCAACAACAAAAAACAAAGCAGCTTGTACCGGGGGGTTGTAACACCACCGCTTGCTGCATGTTTCTCAGCCTCTCGCAGCCCCCAACCTGACCGCACAGCGTGTCGTACGAGGAAAGGGCCCGAGCCTCTCCCGTGATAGGCCTCCAGCGTGGTTGTTAAACTTCTCGCGCGTTGGCGGCGTAGACGGATTTCTTACGGCACGGCGAAGGTTAATCGAACTTCCAACTCCAACCATTGCAAAATTCTGGAGACCAAAATCTTCAGAAGCTTCGATACCCGTTCTCTGGGCCCGCGTCGATCCATAACCACCAAACCCCCAGATCGGTAGATCCCTACCGGGCACACCCAGTAGAGTCGCAGTACCGGCAGCACTTCCCACGCCCGTGATGCGGGCACCACACCCAGCGCAGTTTAGACGCTTTTTACCGGAATGGCCTTGTCGCAAGAGGAGGCACCCCAGTCTGTGTCAATTTACATGTACCGGGCATTGCTTAAAGGCGATGGGCTTCCCGTGAGAAATGCTGGTGGTGGTTTTGGAACTTGGGGGAGGCGAAAAAAGGCTTTGGCGGACGTTCTCCACTTGGGCTGAGATCAAGCGACGATACGCGAGCGGAAGATTGACACTAACTACACCATGGCGTCGGATACGCGGGTTTATCAGATCCCCCCGGAGGTTAATAGGAATGCCCAGCTGTATGGGGTGGTGATTCCCGCCATTGTGGTTAGCAATGTGGTGGTGGCATTGAGGTGAGCTGATGAACTGCGAGTTGCGACCATGGGTGCTGACGATGCGATTTGGACAGGCTTTATGTGAGAATACGACTGCTCAACAATTTTGCTTCCGATGACAAGTGGATTCTTGCGGCGGTGATAACGGTTCGACTCTTGGGCTTCTCGTTACAGAAAGATGGCTGATGCGATGCAGAAATCGGCGTTGATGATTTTGTCGTTGGTGCAAACAAAATATGGTAATGGATGGCACATGGCTGATGTTCCACCTGATCTGTTTGGGGAGTTATTGAAGGTGAGTTTTTCCGTAGGCGAATTAAACATTGATTCTAACAATGCTGTAGCAAGCGTTTTTTGTGTGTTTGCTCGCGCTCATAACACCGACGTAGGTCTTCATGGAGGTTGTGCTGCGCTCTGCTAACGTGTGGACAGGCTCATCAAGATTAGTATCCTGGCACTTTACAACAGGCTGTCCCAGGAACCACTCCATCGGAAGATTATCCATGCCGTCACTGGGTTTACAGCTCTGTCGACCCTCGGGTTAGCTTTAGTATGTTGTCTATTACTGCGACTTCCGAAAACCCACTAACGATCCCTCACCTTCAGGCCCAGATCTTCAACTGCCTTCCCGTCGAGTCTGCCTGGGACGTTATGGTCTATCCAACCACCTGCTCCGCCTCGCCCATTACCCTCCTCCTCATCCACTGCGTTATCAACGCCTTTACTGACATTGTCGTCTTCGCCCTCCCTCTCCCCGTCATCTTCCGTCTCAACAACATTTCGCGCCACGAGAAGCACGTTCTCGCCGTCATCCTTCCCCTGGGCGGCGTCTCGGTCGTCGCTTCCATCGTGCGCATGATTTTCTACGTACAAATGGTGAAGCAATGGCCTGCTGGGGACATCACCTGGATGAGTGCCAACAACACCATCTGGGGCGCGATCGAAATGTGCCTGGCCATATTCGCGTGCAGCTTGTTCGCGCTACGGCATCTCTGTGGGAGGGAGACGAAGGAGAAGAGGAGGACGAGTGTGGCCGTGCCGAAGGAGGATACGCAGATGCATCATGGTGTGGAGCTGTGGAGCTATGTGTCGGTGCAGGAGGAGGGAACGTTGGAGAGCAGGTCGACGGACGCAAAGTTGACGAATGGGGGGAGTAGGGTGGATGAAACTGAGATGGACACGGACGGGAGGAGTGAGGAAGCGACGGCAAAGACGAAAAGGTAGGGCGAGGAGGCGATCATGCTGGTTCATGATGGAGTTTGGGTATGTTAGAATCTTGTAA